TATGTGAGCTGCAGGGGTCGCGGGGCGCAGAGGTCATCGCGGAGGTCCCCGCAAAACAATCTCAGATCACATTGGCGTCTCGTGCCGTATCGTGCATGACAGCGCTTATCTCCGCGCCAGGCTGACCCCTCCCCTTTCCCTCTCTCTCTCTTTCTCTCCCTTTCCCTCTCTCTTTCTCTCCCTCCGCCTCCCTCTCCTCCTCCCCCTACGCCAGCAGCCTCACCGCGATATCGGCGCCCCGGGCCTTGAACTTGGCCGCGCGGATGATCACGTAACCGTTATGCAAAAACGGTATCACTTCGGGAGGTACCGATAGCGGCAGTGAGGCACTGGGGCTGGCGAGCCGTCACGCGGGCGTGACCCCCGGCGTCGACCTCCCGGCGAGCCGCGCCGAGCCCGGTCCAGCAGCCAGCGCTGTCCGGCGAGGACCGTAAGGACCCCCTTTTGTTGGGTCGACAGCGCTGCCAATCAGGCACCGGGGCCACGGCGAGCGGCAGGGGCAGAGGGGCCGCAGGGGCCGGCCTCCGCTCGCCTTCAGCGTGCACCCGGGGCGGGTGGGGCGGGTCTGGAGCCACCAATGTTGCACTCCGTGGCCTCCATGGTGGACGTGACAAAGGCCACGGCCGCGCGGCCGAGGCCACGGCCAAGGTGGGGGCCGCGGCAAAGCACGGCGCGCGCGCGCCCGCTATGCACGCCACGACCGGCGCGCGCGTTGGGCTGCCTAAGTTCACGGCGCCGCCGGTGCCCCGCGGGCTAGAAATGTTAAACAGCGGAAACGTACTACCATACGCGTGCGCGCATCCATTACCCATCCGGAGCAGGCGAGTCTACCGCATTCTCCGGCCGGCAATCCCCGCCAGGAGCGAAGACAATAAAAGAAGTTAAGAGGTACGGCGTGCTGACTGTACGCCCAAACGACTTGATCGACTGGATGGATGGCCGGTCCGGCAGCAGATCGCCGCCGCACCGTTGCAAACCATTCCACCAAAGGCCCCATCACACCGGGGCGAAACGCGAACGCGAGACACCGTGTCGGGCAAACTGCAACGCGGAGTTAAAAGTAAAAGCGCCCTTCTCGCCTGACCTTGACTGATTGACGGCACCACACTCACGCGTGTGCGAAAGGTACATGTTTTTAAACGCCTCACGTGGTCGCACTGCGCCAAGTCGCGTATTTGCTCCGCGCCGGAATAGTATTAGTTTAAGGTTAGCCGGCCGTGTGAAGAGATCCACTTAGAGCCGGGATGCCACTGACGCGCGGGCGGCGCAGCCACTTCCGCCGCAGACACGCACTCTGCGATATTTGGATTCGGTC